TTCGGCGCGCAAGAGCACGTAGTGAGCATCATATGGCTAATCTATATTATATAAAACGCTAATACGTTTTAATTGATAGGCTTCGGCGCGCAAGAGCACGTAGGGAGCATATCATATGTCTAATCGGGTGAATTCTCACCGAATTATCAAAACAATTCTCACAAAATTATCTTCATCGAAGTCGATGCATTACATCCGGCGTTCAGTACTATTTCATATTGTTTACCAACGCATGGTTTTAGCCCTCTGGTGGGAAAGACTTTAAAACAAAACTTACAACAGTTACTTTTCTCTACAACAGAAATTTAAAATAGTGTAATTAAGAAAAATATGTGAACTGTTTGCATTTTCAAATTAATATTGAAATTCACAGGTTTAGAATTTTCTACAGTGAAAAGTTTTCGGAACTTCAGTGTTCAAAAAAGTATACAAAAGCTAGACGTTAAGAACGTATCCAATGAGCGAGTAAAGCGAGCATCGGATTGCTGCGAAAGCAGTTCCGAGGGTTGGCGAGCGCCAGCGAGCAGGGGGCGAAGCCTCCTAGTTAAATGAAATAAAATAAAATAAGTGTACTAGAAAGCAAAGTTAAAGGAGAAATGGTTAATAGGAAATTCGTTTAGAAAAACCGTAGAAAATTCCCATTCACAGATGGCGCTTAATTATTGTGTACTATTAACGGTGATATGTACTACTGGTATTATGGTAATTGGTGCAGTTTTAATGAGAATTCTTCAAAGGGTTCTCCATAGTTTCAGAAAATATTTTTTTCAGTTATAGCAAAGATAGTTTATTAATATTTTATTGAATTTGAATTAAAAGAACTTTGTTCCACTACTACTTATATATATTTTAGCAGTTTATTTAAAGGTCAGGCAAAGAGATGGTCATATTCTAAAATCCTTATCAAGTTTTAGTAAGAATTCTTTAAAAAATTTTGATAAGAATGTTTTTATTTTAAAAAAAAATCGGCTTAAGTTGGCTGTCACTGACAAATATATTATCACAAAACTCAAATATTAAAGGGTTGTGTAATAAGTACCAAAAAAACTAATATAGGTATGAAATATAAAGTTAATATATTTGGTGATTATTAAAACAGTACTAAACAGTTTTTATACCGATACTTTGGAAATAAGTGTATCCACCCACGAAAGGGATATGTAATGAAGAAAATTAATTGATAGTGATAAATTGTGACTAATATGAGTTGCCCTCGAGAAATAGCATCATGCCAAGTGATGCTAATTACATTTTATCTTTATTCTAATGGGATGAACTACAAAAAAAAAGCGCGTTTTGCTTACTTCACTAACGTAAAGCCACAAAATGGCAACAAATAATATTAAATTTAAAAAAGAAAAAAAGAAATTGAAGTTATTTTAGCTACATTGATTCAAAACCTTAGTGAAAGAACCAGGTAAGGGAAATTTTAAGAACGAAAAAAAAAAAAAAAAAAATGCAATCAAACTATTTTATTACAAGTTTGTTAAAAGACGGGGCGAATAATTCTTTGCTTCATTTCATTTACCACAACCTAATTTGATATAAAAATCAGGTAAGCATATTAATAACTGATGTGATTAATTATGTTACGAATAATGCAAAGGCACCGTTCGTTAAACACACCCATATTGATGCACCCTCTTTTTGTTATTTTCTCTGATTCATTAATTCCCCTAAAAATTTCACTTACCTGTTTCTTCCATCAAGCTCTTTAATTGTGTCGATATATGCTATTCAGTTTTAAGAATGACTTTCTAACGTATCTCAGTACTGATTTCTTAATTGTTTACTTGTTTTTCATTCACCCCGTGCTCAGAACGTAATACTTTAACAAATTAGAATTTAAAAAAAATAATAACGTGTCACTATATAATTTCAACAATTGTTGAAATTATATAGTGACTTAGTGAAAGGTGAAGTAGGTTAATACCTCTTTAGTCTAGATAAAAAAAAAAAAAAAAACAAATAGTAAAAATTCTACTTATCTATATGTATATGCAATCTTACACTGCGACAAAAAAAAGCCTAATTGCAACTCCTCGAATGGCAACGCTAGAAAATCGACCAATGATTGCCGATAAAAATGTCACATGCCAAAACCAGTGAGGTGGCTCAACATATAGCGCTTTTAAAAACGGAAACTGAAATAACCAGAGAGGCAATCTCATACTTTTAAGCTAGGCAGAAGTGAGTAGTCTTTGTCGATAAATCTCTGTTTTAGTATTTTGTCGAAAGCGCTTTTTTTTCACGAATTTATATATTACCAATTTATTTGACGATTAATTATCGCCAAAATTTTAACCTTTTTAAAGAGATATCAGTTTTAGAAACTTTACCTTAAGATTTTATACTATAGCACATTTCTAATAGGATAATGAATTACATGACATGTCATTTATTTGAATTCAAATTTATTTTAATGACTTATAGTATTTACTAAAAAGATGTAATTTTTTTTTAAAAAGAAAGTTTCTTGGAATTTTGTGCATTTGCAATGCACCTAAGTTAGTAGCGAGCGAAGCGAGCTTGGTTTGCGAAACAAAACATATAAGATTGCGTAGCAATTTTCGGGGGTTGGCGAGCGTTAGCGAACAGGGGGCGCAGCCCACTAGTTTTAAAAATTTCTGATTTAACTAACTACTATTGAGAAAAAATAACGTCACAAAAAATAACCTCACAGGAGGTAACATCAAGAGAAGTGAGAAACATCAAGTTGCTGTCAAACCAAAGCAACTAGTTATTAATTGGAATATTCATAAAACTTTTTAAAGCCATAAGATGCTATTTTGGTATTTTATACTTCTGTAGTTTTGAATTTATGCAATTAATATGATGATTTAAAATAACGGTTACGAATTGTATTCGGCTACGGAATCCTAGTAGTCCGCCTTCTTACGGCAAAACCCTGACTTTATAAATAATATGTATTAAGGTATTAGTGAACATTATTACCTATAAGACTGTTTTTAAAATATTAAATTAGAGGAATGAAGATTTTTCATCATTTTATCTTAAATTAGATTTTATGTCCGACAATTAAATTGCAGTTCTTGTGCTATATAGTCTAGTTATGAATTTGTTTTTAGTGTATATACCTACTTAAGTTGAAAATGAATAAAATAAGCCCATTTATGGTTTACTTCTAGATAAAAACTTAAAAGAACTGCTATGAACGTTGAAAATGGTTATTCAGGATATTTTATTAAGGAATTTCATTATTTTAATTTGATTCGAAAAGCGCGGTAGGAAATACTAATGCAATATTTTATAAACACTTGTTCTTTTCATAATTTATTCAATATATTGCTTTTAGAAATATTATATTTATATTATTTTAAATACCATTTCTATTTCATTGGCATTTATTTCACTTGAAATAATTTCATAAAGGTAACCAAACGATTAAATAAATTCTGAATTATATGTTTGTATCTAAATATAATCAGAGATTTCAAATCACATCACTAGATGCAAAAAGTACTCACGAACCCTTTTAACTTATCCACTGAGCCTCACCACTTGGGAAGCGATGACCAAACTACAGATAATATCTAGCTTTGATAAGATTGATACTTTACATTACATACATGCAATTCATTATTTATCTAGAATTTAATAACATTAAGTTACCAGTTAGGAAAAAAGATATTTTGTTTAATATATTTCATAATTTCGCTTTCGATCATACTTACCTGGCACTGGGGATGCCTTGATCAGCAAGGAGGCTCCCCCGAGCAGAGGCCCATCATTGCACTTCGGTGGGTTGACGTTCGCCACATTCACAAATTGTGATTGCTTGGGGTGCATAATTTTTGGTAGTTGGGACTGCGTTCGCGCTGTCCCTATAATATAAAGAGAAGATAATAACACAAGTATGAATTGTAAAAAATTTACTATATACATATAGTCAAAGTTTATTAAATTTCAACAAGTCTCATTTTATATTTTGTAAAGTTTTCGAAAGTTGTATTTTTTTTTTCTTTTCATTTCTTACTCGTTTTGTAAAGAATCATTTTAACTCTACTCCGAATATTGAATATACTTATGAAAAGTAACGCCTACTTTCTGTTCGAACAGAGTAATGATTCTCTTATAATTGTGCTTGAATCGAACAGATTTTCATTCTACAAAACAAAATTTAAATATTGTTACCATTTTAAAAAACTGCGAATGCTATATTTTTTGTGACTTCAGACAAGGACATTTATAAGATATTGTAGAAACTCTGTCAATTATAGTGATGGCAACACCGTCAATGGGTGAATGAACACATGCTCTTTTGCTTGCAATCTTTTCAGTAAATTTACTCGGGAAATTGACTCTTTGACGTAGTTTTTGCATTGTTGACAGCTTTTAGAGGTTAAATTTTTGGTGAATCCCGAATTAAGAATGAATTTTTGGTAATTTATCGCGTAAATGTTTATATAGGATTATTATTACTATTCGTTGTAGAAAGTAGGCGTTACTTCTCCCCCTGAAATTGCATTCATTTAAATATGTAGTGCGATTTTATTTAAAGTCAATTCAGTTGCGTTTGTTAACCACTAGGCACCTATGTTCCTTTATGGTAACAACTCTTTTCGTCACGAAGATAAAGAAAGGGTAACTCACTTCACTCTTTGCATTAAAGCATTCATTTCATCAAATTAAAATAAACGTTCAGGCTCACCATAATTATTATTAATTATTTGTTTCTTATGATTTGATCTATTTATTGTGTTTACAATGTTTATTATATAAAAACTGGAGCCAAAGGATTTGGCAGGTCGACGGGATAATCCCAAAGTACCATAATATGTTATTAATTAATATTTTTTATCAAGTAATTAAAAAACTACGATCGACTTCTTTTTTAAAATTTAAAGGCGGCTACCTGGGAACGTAAAATTTCAAAATGTTTCATGCCTAGTCGAGGCTATCAGAAATTTAATTAGAGAAATTTGAGTACGAATTGTAATCTCAGAAGGGACTGTGCCCCCTTATGTATAAAGTGGGAGGGGGCTAAAACCTTCTCTGCCCCCTCCCGGTTCCGAGGCCCCTCTTTAGAGTGAAATTAAAAATTTTCAAAAGAGGTGGATAGAAGAATAACACAAATTGTTAAATCATTCAAGATCCCGAAAAACTTCGTTTACTAAGGATTCTTATTCTAAAAGTGTTATATAAAACGTCGAAAAGTATCGATATTTACTAAATGTCAAGAGAGTAATAAGCAGATTTCAGTTGTAAAAGCGGGACGATTCAATGTATTTTTATACTCTGAAATATAATTGAACAAAGTTTAATACGTCTTTATAATAAAATTTTATTTATATTTGGAAAGCTTTTGACTAGGGTAAAAAAGAAAATTAAGGGAAAATTTACCAGCTTACACAAAATGCATAAATATAAGCATAAAAACGTGCTTCGAAGTGAATGGACTGTTAACTAATTTAGGGACAGTACGAACTGGGATGAGACAGGGATATGTTTTATATGGATTTGTGTTTACTTTAGTAATTGACTAGATTAGGCGAAGCCCTTCAATATATAAGAAAATGAGAATTAGAGGAAAATTTAACTCAGTTTTTGGAGATCTCTATTTTTCTGACAACTCTTTGGACAAATTTTTAGCATCCAAAGTTACAGACCTTTAGCTTAAAACGGATACTTTCAATACATTTTAAATAGAATAATGGTATGTATCATGATTGGATTTACTTAGTTACCCTATGGCACTCGAGTAAATACTAAGTTACCCCACTACTCTGAGTAGGTAGTGGTAGAAATAAGCGATAATACGTTTCAGTTTACGATGCGATACGTTAAGTGAATATGTTTTTTGTCGCAAGTGTTATTTTCAAAGGAGCAATATTCACGTTAACAATATTGCAAGCGTTATTTTCACTAGTGTAAATGTATATATATCTATTTTTATAAGCTTGTACATTTTTTCTGTCCACTTTTTATAAGCTTGTACATTCAGAAAAAGAAAAATCATTCTGATAAAAATATGTCGCTTTTCTCACAAAATTATTTCAGATTTGAAAACCCCACTCTCAAATTATATAATATCAAGTTTAAATGCATCAAATTGTTTCCTCCCAGTGCAGTTAAATTGGGCACAGGAATAATAATTTCTCTGCATATAATGAATGCCCTTATGAATTAATTTAGTTTTAATCCTTTCGCGCTGACGGTCACAAATACGTGCCAGCATTAAACCGTATGAACCAGGGTAAAGAGATAAAACTGGTAATCAAAGTAATTCTTTAGCAGTTTATTTGTGGGCGGAGTTATAATTGTTTGATTTATTTAATTCACCATTACTTTGTTCAAAATAAAACTATTTAGTTATACTTTGAACTAACATTGATTATATATATGATTAAACTAACAATAATTAAAGTAAAAGCAAAGTAAGTCTATCAAATTAGCAACCTTAACATTTAAGTCACCGTTTTTTATTTAATTACATTCTGATTCTGATTTTCCACGAATACTTTTCAGAATCACCCGTTGTGAAGTTGGTGTAATGTTAACAAGGTAAGAAGTGTTTTATAACGATTCTGACAATTTTACGTCTTGAATTGACAGATCTTCAAATGACGATTCTTCGTATAAACACAAATAACGAATCAGGTAATAAATATACGTGTATGATAAGTACTTCTCAAGAGAGTAAAAATACTATGATCACATTGTGAGCCAAATGGCTTCAAAACACACTGAAATCCGGAAGTATATCGGTCAAGAGCTGCCTAGACTAGAGTAGAAAACACCATCCATAGGGCCAATATTGGAAAAACAATGCCCTTTGATTCCTTATTGAGTCAAGATTGGTGATTTGAGTATTGGTCCACGTTATTTTGGTGTTAGGATACGTGAGGTTCGGTTTGCACTGTTGTTCGGTTTGTCGGTTGTTTTTGTAAAGCCTAGTAACGTTAATAAATGAAAAGATATGTGAAAATACAAAGTAATAAGCGCGATTTTATTATATAAAAATTTTTCCTTTTGAAGCTTAGTGGTAGGTATATAAAAATATCATTTAGAAAATCAAGGTGGCTAAAAGTTAACTGACGGTATTCAACCATATTCGGCCTAGGTGTGTTAGAACCATTTGATCAGTTAGGGTTCAAGTAAACTGATTGAAATAAAATTTCAAATGTATATTGTTTAGAAAGTGCGGCCAAGGTTTCAGTCGAAAAAATATTTCGTAATTTTGCCTTCACGTGGTGCTATAACGAGGTAAAAAGATAGAATATTTCATTAATTTTCACCCCTGTGTGCTCTATAAACATACCTTGACTGTCAATAATATACAAAGGATTGCATGCATCCATAATTTACAAACATTTTCAGCATGTATGGATGAAATTGAGTATGCCATCTATGAATAAAATTTTGAACTATTTTTTTCAACCACGTTATATATGTGTGTAGAGTCAGCAAAAATAAATGAATAAAAGAATTGGATCACTTAATTTTTTTGAATGGCTGGTCTGTTTTTTATTCTATAATGTATTATGGCAATATCTCAAAATAACCTTCTAAATTGAGTCTAAGAACTAATTTTAAACGTGGTGGTATATGCTTGTTGTGAAGCTTGCAGTTCTGATTGACTAATAGACTCGGCTTATAGTGAAACAAAGTTTAGCTTGTTGTTGTCGTGAGTTATTAAGGCTGGTGGTGCGATTGCTCGTGCTATCCAGTGGAGCCATCTATGGCCAAGAATTCGACTTCTGCCACTCCCTTTTCATAGATGCAGGTTGACATTGTCGACAACAAGTATCTCGACACTTAACAAAAACAGATCTAATTGGTATAACAATTTAATTATTTTAACCGATTACATGAAACATTGAAATAATATAATCGATTAATTTATAGAAAATTTAATAAATTATAACGATTAATCGAATTGATTGATAGAAAATATCGATAAATTTTATGTAGAAATAATCACTGTCGCTACCATTTGTCACTGTTACTTTTAAATCACATTAGTAGAAATAACAGAGAAGTCGCAATTTTGCTCGCCCCTAATTAGCGTCTCAATCACTGTACGTTTACATCGGGTTCGAGTTTCCGTTCTATATTCACTCATATACTCCGCCCTCTTGCATCGCATAAACGACACGGAGCCGAGCTGGTTTAACACTAGTTCGTTCCGTTTACTCAGTCGAATTGAATCGAGTAGTTGAAAATGATAATAATTTATTATTTTTAAATAAAGTGGTAGATTTTATCAGCAATATTCCAGTAATATAATTTTTTTTTTTTAAAATTCTTTCCATTTAAATTTTTCTTAAAGCTGAAATCTAACAGACTTAAATATTGTGTACCTCACAACTTCAGCATCTAACTCCAGTTTTAATCTCAACCACAAATCTCAACTTTAAAATTTCAATTTCGCAAACAACATAACTTCATCAACTGAGACTGCTCTACATCAAGTAGATTAAACAGCAATCATAGCATTTCCTTACGTTGATATTTTACCCTCATCTATAATCAACAATTGAAAATTTTGAGCAAGAACCTTGAAATGTTAAATCAGAGAACCAAAAAGTCAGCTAACCGCCGCATCGTGTCACTTCATATTTTAAAAGGTACAGATAGACGGGATATGTCCACTTCGCGGCCTAGGTGCCCAATAGCCAACACATACTAGGAGTTATCTTTTATATATATAGCGGATGAATCGACTATTGGACAGAAGTTGCTTAATTTCACTGGGATATTACGTTTCCTTACCTACTTTTTCATATATACGATTTTTATTTCTGTCTAGGTACGGCACGAAATTAAGGTGGCTTTATTAAAGATGGACATACGGTAGCATTTGTCACTCAAAGAACTACGAACGATGATACCACAATGAGGTGGTGCACCATCTTGTTGCAAAAAGACATGTGACTGAAGCCCTTCTAGTTGTGGAAATACGAAGTTTTCCAACATGTCTAAGTAAACGACTGATGAGACAGGAAGATGGATTGGGCGAGGAAGTCCAATTCCTTGGCCACCCAGATCACCTGATAAACGCGGCTGGACTTTTTTCTTTGGGGATTTATAAAGGACAATGTTTATAGGAAGATCGTGTCGAACAATGATGACCTAAAGGCTAGAATTACAACCGCAATAGCCTCTGTGGATGCTGACATGGTTGCCGCTACCTGGCGTGAAATTGACTATCGACTTGATATTTTCCATGCGACGAAGGGTGTACACGTGGAAGTTCATTGACAAGGGTCATGAAATTTTTTGAGTCTATTTAACCATTTATGTTATTAATTTTAATCTATCTTTATTATTTTATGAGTTATTAAACATCAAAATGGGTCCGGGACTTTATAAAGACCCTGTAAATTTTGTTTCCCAATTTTTTTTTTGTTTATTTAAATTCATCCTGATAATAATCTCTCAAAATCAGCGTTTTAATGAAGCAATATTGATATTTAAATGAAAAAAAAGAGTCGTTCATCGCTTAGCAAACCCATTTGGGACTAGCAGCCTTGAGTTCTTATCAGCGAAAACCCAGTGTTTACCAGGCCGGGGTAAAAACCAGGATTTAACCAGGAACCATGGTAAAAATCGGGATTTGTTTGTTGCACTTCGAAGCATTGCTCTTCCAACTTTACGTTGCTATGTGGTTTCGAGTCGTCAAGATGCACCTTAAACTGTCTAAAAATCTCTGAAACTTTTAACTGGAACAACCTGTAAATATGGTAAAGTATCTTGTGAGTTTGTTCAGTAAAGCTTGTTTGTGTTAGTATCGCGCTATTTAAGCAAAACATGTGATTATTAGTTATATAGTTTTAGGGTAATTACAGTTTAATGTAATTTGTTGTTATAAAGTAATTTGAAGTTAGGACATTGGTCAATAGATGAAGGCATTTGAGGTATTGCTCATAAATAGAATCCAACATTTTTAAAATGTTACTTTTGAAGATTTGGATTTAAAAAAATTTTTTTTTTTCATTTTTGTTGAAAAGGTTTCAAAACATAACTGTAATAATATGTGATTCAAAGTTTTGATTAAGAAAAATTTACGTTAAATAAATATTTCAAAGCTTAATTACCTTTCCCTTTTAATGAAAAAAATATGAAAGATAATACATTTGATTACTGAACAATAATTGATGACTGTAAATAATTATACCGTTTTTTATACACATTTTTCCTTGAAAAAAAAAACAACTTTTTATTCGTATAAATCTGTAATATACATTTAAAATTAATATTAAATAAAAAATATTTATGAAGAAATTTTATTTTATTTTATTTATTATTAAATTTTTTTAAAAATTTAGCATTTTTTTTATATTTTTGTTTTTAATAAAAAATTATTAAGTGATATGAACATACACTGTCAAACATTGTCATGTTTATCTAAATTTATTATTTCATATATGACAGCTTGCATTGAAAAATATGAAAAGTAGGCGTTACTTTTAATTGATTATCCAATTAAACAGAATAATAAAGGTAACGAATGTACAGGAATTGAGACTAATTTTTCTTCTTTATCTCGAGGAATTTCCTTTTATTTCCCATTCACGTTACATATCAACAGAAGAATGTTAAAAAAAATTGTCTACTGTATAGTTGAGCAAGTTGACATTGGAGAAACAAATAATTTACTCAGTTAATTAGAAAAATATTGTTTGGTTTTACTCATTTTGTTAGGTTTTTACTTAACAAAAGCTTATTCGTGCTTATTTAATACTTCACTTTATATTTAAAAACTAATCTTTAATTCCACATTCTTTCACTGGTTATCTGAGTTTTATTTATTTTTAACGGTTACATTAATTCTGTGTCCTTTAACTTGTTACCTATTTGTGCTTATTATATTTTATGATGATTATATTGTGTGCTGATTATATTGTGTGCTGATTATATTGTGTGCCATAATTGAATCCCATTCCCATGTATGTTAAGTAAATAAAAATTGGCCCCAGTTCCTATTTCTCTTTAAAGCACGCCATCAGCTTAAATTGGGTGAATATAAGTAACGCCTACTTTTTACTCGTAGCTTCCGACGAATTTGAAAAAAAAAAGAAAAAAAAAGGAGATATTGTCAGTTTATTTTTTGTCCGAATGTTTTGTTAGAAAGAATTTATAAGTTTATTACATTCATATACACACGCTTTGAAAATATTACTTCAGACAAAAAACATAAAATCGACCTTAACGTATCGCTATCTTTCTACCACGCCTTGAAGTGGTACTGATTTAAACGTAGAATACGGAGTACCTGGCTCGATGGGCTATCTGCTCTTTCATCTATACCTATGACAACACTTCGCACGCTCTCACTATTAACGTGTGGAGAGCCATAGGAGAAGAAAGCACATTAGTTTCTGTCTTTATTTTAAATAGATTGAAAACTTTTAAGTTAGGAAACTATATGGAACTGAAAACTAGATACATCGAAGAGAGTTCTAAAAGAAACGTCGTGGAAACTTTTAAAAATATTTTTTGACAAGTAAATACGAAAAATGTTAAAAAAGATGGAAAATGCAGTAATACATTCCTATACAACTGCATACGTGCCAACTTTAACTCATTCTGAGAATGGATTTTTCAAGTGGTAGTAAAACAATCACCGAAAAACATTCTTACTCAAAAATATATTTATATTTTGATTCGGTTAAAATCTGCTATCATAAAAATTAGTATGCTTTTATATATTCGTTGTAATTATTTATATGTAGTGGTGGTCAAACTCATTTATAATTATCANCTGACTATCTATTTCCAAATTTTATTTTTATAATTATATGTAGTGCTGCCATCTATATTTAAGCTTTATTAAACCGGAAGAGTTGGCAGCTATGCAACTGAGAAGAGGTGGAGAGGGAAAGGGGGAGTGTCAACACTATCGACTTGTTTTGCATATTCGAGAGTTACGATCACGAATACAGAAAGTAAACTGGGTTAGGATGCTGTGATGTCAGCCGACGTTCCGTCATCACTTACGACATGACGACAGTCTTTAGTTGCGGAAAAGTGGCGTTGCCGTCTCGATCCAGCGAGAGTAAAAAAGGAATTTACATGTTTGCCGCCATTCCTTTGTTTAAATTTTGCCAGCATGCTATTTTATTCTACTTATGTTTCAATCGTTGGATTATTAATAATAACTTAAGTCATCATGATTATTCCTTGAGTATACCTGCTCAAGATGTACACGCGATAATACGTGGCGAAGAGGATAGGAATTTTTCACCCCTTGAGGAAGTTGAGCTACAACTGGACTTTAATGAAAATGCAATTTCTCAAAGACTGGTCATGAATAATTTCGACGTGATCCCAGTACAGCTATTTACTTAATGTTTTCCGGTAGGTGTTTTCAAATGTTTAAATGAACTTTGCTATTTGCGATATTTTTATCCGATTTAGTTCAATTTAGCAGCATTCAGATGGCGACGGTAGGTTTGATTCAGGAATTTGATACTTCAAATCCAAATTCGTTCGAATTATACACTGATCAAATTACTTATTTTTTAGAAGTGAATTCTATTTCAGATGAAAATCTAAAGCGTGCAACTCTTTTGGTTGCTTGTGGCTGAGAATTTGAGGATTGGATTTAGCTTTTGAAAGAACATTGTCTTAAATCTGCGGAGTTGTTTTAGCGATTTAAATTCCATAAAAGAGTTCAGTCAATATTAGAATCTGTGAATGCTTACGAAATCAAATAGTCTGCGGTATTCGCGATGAAGAGATTCAAAGAAGATTGTTAGCTGAATCGAAATTTACACTTGAAAATATAATTTCGGTCGCCGTAACATCTAAAGTTGCGGATCCACAATCAAAACATAGTCATTCAAAAATTATTCATTGATTTGGTACGTGGTCGGAGAGAAATACTGCTTGATTACGTGAATAAAATTCTAATTTTTCAGGTAGTAGTAAATCCGAAACTCATAATTCTAAAATGTGTTACAGCTGCGGTGGTAAACATGAGCGTTCAGACGTGTAAATTTTATTTTATTTTACAACCGTCGTTGAACTGCCGACCCAATTTTTGAATTTACGACTACTAATGCTCAACTCAGTAGCCTTGTCATTTTGAAACTAATATAAAAGACAAGAAAAATCCTGGATCAAGTATTGAGGGAGAAATTTGTTTTCGTGGGGGACTTTTTGATGGAACTGACCAGCATTTGCGTTACATGGAAAGGAAGACCACGAGAGCCACCCACGGTTAGCCTGACGGCAAGGGGACTCTAACCCATGATCCATCCACTACTAAGGATATTTCACGTCAGCACTATGGTGGTTGCAAGTCGGATGCGGAATTCGTATCGACCAGCCGTCGCTGGGATTCGAACCCGGTTCACCACATTGGAAGGTGAGCGCTCTATCCCCTGACCCATCACGGATCAAACGTATAAATTCAAATATGTAATATGCCACTTGTGTGATCGTAAGAAAAACATTGCAAAAGTTTGCCAGAAAAAACCCCCAACTAAATCGTAAAAACAGCGTGCAAATAAAATTTATGCTCAACCCGGATATTTGAATGTTCTAAGTTTTCAATCTGCGTTTAAGAAAAACTTAATCATTGAGTATGATAAGAAAAAATTAGAAATGGAAATTGATTCGGGTTCTTATTATTCGATTATTTCTTCGCAAACTTTGAAAAAATTTCTCCATTCTAAGAAACCCGTGAACGGAGAAACTTCCATTTAATTGCGTGACTTTTCTAAAAAAGGGATTTCACTAGCCGGCTTGCGTAAAGTTGAAGTTTTGGTTAACTTCCTGAAATCGAAGCTAAAATTGTTAATTTAAAAAAATTCGCGAATATTTTGGGATATTCGTAGTTTGAACGTTCGAGAATTTTAATAACCAGGGTAAATGAAATTAAAATGGGAATTGTTGAAAAAGTTGTTAAAAAGTGTGATATTTTTGATGGTAAATTGGGTTCGTCTACGGGGAACCCAGCATAACTTCCTATAAATTCGGATATTGCAAGAAGCGTGCCTTTGTCAGTGAGGTTCAACATTGAAATTTGAAGTGAAACTTCAAAGTGCAGGGGTTATGGAAGGAATTTCTAATCCAAAATGGTCAACGGTTGTTCCAGTGATTAAACCGTCGGGTGAAGTACGTTTGTGCGGAGATTATGAAATCCTGTTAAACAAAGCAATAAGAGCACATCCTTATCCGAATGCCGAGACAAATCACCTTCTTTCGAGTCTTAGAGGAACGTTATTATGCTCAGATAGATTTCGCTCAGGCATGCTTGCAATTATTGGTTGAATGATGCTTCCGCTGATTTGATATTTGCAGGCTCCCGCTAGAGGGCGTACTCGAGCGTTGCGATCGCGAATGCTTAGATGTTTAATTCGTTAAGGATGTCGTTTGTAAATGAAGACGAAAATACATTTTGCAAAGTAAATTGCGATTTATTTTAAATATTTTAATTTCTCGTCAATTTCCTTGTTCTTATATTTATTTCAGTGTTAATTTTAACATGTATTAACATAGATGAAATGCATAATTTTTGTTTTTGTTAAACCAATGGAAGAATAAATACGGAAAAGCGTTAATAATGTAGATTTTTTTCTTTTTTCTTCGTTGTAGAATTTATTATATAAAAGAATAGAAATGAACGGTAGTAAATAAAAATATGAAGAAAAGGCTTTATGCATACTGTAGAACTGAAATGTAAGATGAAAGTTTAGGAGTTGATTAGAAAAAATTATGGTTCCAAATAAATACGTAATATGAAAACATTTAAAAAAACTAACATAAATTCCCGCAATGCAATTTTGGTTCAAAAAATTTGATTGAAATAAAGCTTAAAAGTCAACTTCAAAAGTTTAAATCACAAAGAACTATTATTCATTCATGCGACAAATATAATTTGCGAGCGCAACGACATATAGGGGGCGTTGTTATTTGAGACGACATATAGGGGGCGTTGCAATTTACTTTGCAACGCGATCATCAGTTACTTTGCAGATTTCTTCAGTGTAGCATAGTATCGTTCTCTCTTTTTTGTGGCTTATTAAATTTAAAAAAGAAAATTTTTTGATATTCTTTCTTATGCAAGCGAATACAAAATATAGCGAATATTTTTTTTGGAGAAGGAACATCTAAAATACAAATATTTGTAAATAAATAGAAAAAAAAAATGTATCTTCGTATTAGTTAAAACTTAATGCCTGCAAAACCATCCTATTAAATTTAATGATCTAATATGAAAGGTTTATTTAAACTTTATATTCCATACTTTTCTGAATCACATTACTTCAAGGATTAAATCGAAAATTGGGTCGGCTTTTAACGACGGTTATAAAATAAAATAAAAACATTGAAATATGCAAAAATTTTACAGAAATATATAATGTTATATAATTTAATTTTGCAAAAAAAGTTTTTGACAACAATTTTTATTAAAAAATTTCAATAAAAAATCATTATTATAAATTAAGAAACATAAAATGAAAAATGCTAATGATTAAAAAAAATAAAAAAAAAGGATTCTAAAAATATATTGAAATAAAAAAATATCATGATGTTAGTATTTTTTTAAAGTCTTAAAGTTCTTAATCAGACGAGAAAGTCATTCTGTAGAGAACTATTATAAAATTAGAAAAAAATATTTACAAGTAAATTTTTTATTATAAAAATTACAACACTAACCTGCTTCATAAATCCTTAGAATTCCGAAATGTAATGCTCTCTGTTTGAAAATTTTATTCTCAAATAATATACACATAGATTATCCCTTTAAAATTTTATAATTGTAAGATCTCGATATGAATTTCAATATGTAACTCAAAAACAGAAAAGCTGAATTCTGGTTGAAATTAATCATTCAAAAGTAAAAAACATCTTCCAAGAAAACTGTAAAATTTTATTAATAATCAACACAAATAATACCATTTCAAGAAATTCGGATGATTCTTTATTGTTGTTTTCTGAATTATATAGATACAGAAAAATATACTATTCTATAAGGAAGAATATTATTAGTACTGCACGTTCTGAAATCACATTTATTCATTGGAATTCATTGTGGACTTAAATAAATTCACTTTAATTTATAATGAAGTGAAGATAAAAAAATGTATTTTACCGCATTAAACACATTTGAAACAGTATGCGATCACGAAATCGGAAGTAATTGCTTGCAAGTTTGTTGTTAACAGAAAGGAAAAAAATTGAGGAATTTTTCTTCAAATGTTGGACGCGTTCTGTTTCAGAATGATTTTCCTTGGGTCATTTTTTCAAATTCTTCTACCTTTCCGTTTAGGAAATTTTGCTTCTTATTTGCTGCCGAAAAAAAGCGTCCTACTCTACTAATGATTCTGATAGAACTAAATTAAAACTTAATAAATAGTACCCTGAAAATATCCACCCACCCTAAAGGGCGTATTCAAACGTTGCGATCGCGAATATCACAGAAGTTAATAAAAAATATGACAGATACTACATAATATACCGTAGAGTGTCGACTATTCATGTCCACTGCAAATAACCGTTTCCATTAAGTGTTACTAGATGGTGTTGTAGGCAGTTGTGCCAGGAGAAACTTAGAAAAAACGCGTCGTGATGACATCAGCGTGGATTGTCCTTAAGTATGTTGTTCATGCTGTCAGCAAACCAATGAATTTTTTCCCCACGTAGTTAAAAAAAAAGAACTGAAATATCAAGCGAATGGGTTCTTGTAAGCATGAACGCTTAAACGTACATGCTTATAAATTTCAAAATGAAAATTCATTTCTCGCGTGAGCAACGAAAATCTGAAACAAAGTGAGCTATAGGTTGGGCAGAAATTTTATGAGAGATTTTGTCAAGACAGGCACAGGACTTTTAATTTCAAAAACTGGAAATTTTAATTTCTTTTTTACTAAGTTACGGCTACGAATTTCACACTTAGAATAGATTCGTAGGACAATTTAAAGGTATAAACTTCATTTCCAAGCTTCTTTGTGCCTTTCGGAAGATGAATAATATGCTTTTCAAACGGTTACAATGAAATCTAGCCATGTCTTATTTAATAAATAAAATTAAAACGGTTGGCAAAAGAATTAAGCACATTATTAAATCTTTACATTAAAACGATTTCTTTTCATGATCCACATTAAGTCAGGAAGAAAGACAGAAGTAAATAGTAGTGTTTTGATTTAAGCGAGGCAGAATAATTTTTGTTTCCATTTAGCAAATAATATAATTTTTAGCAAAAACAAAATTTCTCTAATTAGGTAAGGTTTCTTTAGAGTTCATATTTATCTATGTCTTACTGAAATTTACGGACTATATGGAATTTTCAATTTGTAATCTATTTTGTTTCGCCAGAAATGATACCACTGTAATAAAACACCAATATTGTAGTGAAGAACTATTGAAAATAATTGATTATCATTAGAAATGGAGTTGAATATTAGACCACAACTCATTTTTGTTCTTCAAAATATTGCCTTTTACTTTAATTCTGTAATATTTTGTTACGAAAGCATGACAATATTTAAGTATTTATCCACTTCGGGCGGTCTTACCGCCTATTAGCAGAGTATCTATATTAGGCACTATCTATATTAATCTATATATCTATATTAATATAATAGAAGTAAAAAGGGGCTAGCGTGGAATATTTCTGTTATTTATCACTCAAAAATTATCAGTAAATTTTGGCTGATTGACAAAGATGTGGTACACATACACTATCGTATGTAATTTTAGACAAAATATTAAAATGTGCAGAAGCAAATTAAAAAAACGTGGTTTTTAAGGTGAAAAAGTATCTCTTAATTTTTGCTCTATTTGTAAATTTAGACTATTTATATTCAACGTTTCTAACGGTAAGAGTTATTATATCATGACGGAACACACATATTTCAATAGTCACATTTCATTTGTCTTTCTTTAATTTACCAAGAATGAGTTTAAACCTAGAAGACTAAGTATTCGTCTATTAGGCTACCGAACCATGCCAAGTCTTATGCATCAAAAAATGTTTGATTAGAGCTCCTATTATTTTTTAAATTTTGTTAGATCCAGGTAAAAACAAAACTGCTGCTTACCCGGTAAAGGGATGTCGCTGGTAGTAAAGTTGTTTCATTTCCATCCCTTTTTAAGAGAAGTAAATTAACCGCGACATCCACTTTCTTTAAATGATTATAACATATGCGTTTTCTAGGAGTACATTACTCCCAGCAATGCATATAACTGGAATTAAGTGCTAAATATCTTGGAATCACAATCATCTCAAATTTAAATTGGAGTAAACATCAAAAAAGCCAATCATAATCAAAAAAGCCAATGGAGCCCAATGGGTCCTAAATTCAAAACTGAAATCTAACTCCTCATTTGATTTAAAGTGTGAACGTACTATTTATTTGATGGCTATCAGGCCCATTCTGACGCATGCCGGCCCTACTATTACTACTTTAAAATAATAATCTTAAATATAAACTTTGATGTGTGGAAGGCAGAAACATTAGAAGAATGGTTGGTGTTCCCAAATGTATCAGCTTCAACAGTATAAGACAAGACTTAAAAATTGACAGCATTAATGTTTATATAAATAAATTAAATGAAACTTTCTATGATAAAACCCATCATTGTACAGTCAGCTATTTTAATCTCCTCCTTGATATGGACCTCGTCGAAGATAACACAAAATTTAGTCCCATTACTGCTTTTTTTCTTGGTGATATGGTGTAGCCGTGTTACATTCGTTATAACAACCGTGTTACATTCGTTATACACACATTTTTGACACCATTTTTTATTCTCCCTCTTGCCGATTGTTACCAAAGGAATGCAGTAGGTTGCATTTAATTTGGCTTCCCTATTTTTACTACAACCCGCATTCGTATTTATTTTCTTTAAGGTTGTTTTTCGAAGGCTCCGTCGTAATATGAAATTATGCTTTCTTGCGAATAATATGCTATTTTTATAACTGTTGTGAGTTTGCAACTGTTACTCATGACTGTTAGGTCAAGTTTAGTATATATAAAGCCAGCGCTATCTATTAATTATCTTGAAAAGGGCGCAAAATGTCAATATGAAATCACAGTGACTATCGAGAATCAATGAAAGAAAATCACAGTTTAGTGAAAATGAAAAACGTTTGTTAAAAACTTACTCCAATGCTGCTTTACTTGGGATCGTGAAAATTTGCGAAAACTGTGAATAAGGCAGTGATTTTGATAATTTTCACCTAAGTGGAAAAATGTCGCCAAATTGGTAATTTTGTTTTAAAAAAAAGTTTAATAACTTTTTAATATTCAAGTTATTTGTCTGTTTTAAAACCCAAATAATTCTTCGCTGCAAGATTATGTAAATAGTTTAAAATCATCGCATTGCTTCAAGTGTATGGCAATAGAGTAAAGGCTTTTTTTTTATTTTCCTTAGTGAGAGAGCTTCGAAAAACAGCGTTAAGAGACATATTTCCTGATCAGATGAAACAAAAATATGAGCAATAAATTGCGCCAGAATGTCGTAATGCACAGACGCCAATCAGTTGTCATTCAACGCTAAAAATTTCTATTGCTCGTTCAGAGCACCCCTTAAAATTTATTAATAAACGTTTGAAACTTTGTTGGTTGGTGTTTAATAAAATGGAACATTTCTTTGTTGTTTTTATCTTAAAATATTTCAATGTTTTCTGACATCATATTCTGTTCTATGTTAATCTCAAAAAGCATAAATTTATTTGCTTATTTTAATAATGTCTGTTCTGCTATCATATTCTGTTCTATGTTAATCTCAAAAAGCATAAATTTATTTGCTTATTCTTATAACGTGCATTATTATTTTTTTTGTTTAGTATGGACATTTTTGATGAAGCCTCGGGAAGGTTGTGTTGTGAAAGGGCACGGCGACCTCATTGTAAGACTTGTGTGTGCTATGATGAGGTTGAGATAAAAAGCAAAATTACTGTGTCCAAACCACAACTTCATATGCACACTCGGAGACTTTCACCTTGCAAAGTCAATAGTTTTGCATATGACTATGGATGTTCTGTCAGACATCCGACTGAAAGAGATTTGGATTCAATGTTCCCTCCTCTAATATCGCCTCGTAAAATAGAGAGAACATGCCAGTGTGACAACAAGTATCGGACATTTGAGAAATGGTTTCGAAGGTGAGGATGCCTTGTCATATGCTTGAAATGGCTTTAATCAGACACATAGCAAAGTCTTTTTTTAGGAACTCTTTAACTATTGTAAATGGATAACAAACTCATTAGATTATATGATTGCTTTTACGAATTTAATTACTAGTAAAAAACGACTAAACTTTTTTTTTTCAATTATTATATTTTAAAATTTCATTTTTAAAGTTTATGCTCCTGTGAAATTCACTTTTGATGTTCACTTTAATAATCACTTAAAAATTGTAAAATGTAATTACGATTTTGATTTCTGTGTTTATTTTTTGTATGGTGCTTCTAGAACTGGCTTCAAAAGTCATGCCTGGATTACACTGTTACATTCTTACAAATACTTAATCTTGCCTAATTCGAGTGTGGAGATTTCAAGTCTGAAATTAGTTTTGCTCCTAAAGCTGCAGATTTTTTTAAAATGACATTTTCTGTCTGTTTTTTGTCGAAATGTAAAAGTTTAAATACGTTATATATAACAGAAGATCACGTTAATGTTGCAACAAACTTTAAGATGAGTTAAGGAACATCATAAGGATTAAAATTGCTTAGGAACTTATGCCCAGAATTGTCAGCGTACGCTCTAGGGACACCTCCCTATTATGACCTGTTTAGAAGCACACGAAGAGACAGTTGATAATAGGAAAGTATCCATAGCGATGTATGAAGACATTTTCGCATATGGGTTCCTATTCATATGCAGTTTTAATTATACTTATGTACTTTTTTTTTTTAAAAATCCCCTAGAAGTTTGTCTCAACGTATATGCGATCCCCAGTAATATATCCAGTTTTTACTTTTGTACATTTCGCCAAAAAATATAACGTGAATTTCATTAAAAAAAGAACAACAATATAAATTGGAGGAAAAAAAAACAGATTTCAGATTTCGAAATCAGCGATGCGAAAGTATTTAAAATGTCTTAAAAATCTGAAGCAAAAGAAAAAAATAATGTTTTTTAGTGTTATCTTCTATATGTATAAAATAGAAATCAAAGTTTTGAAAATTTTTATATTTATCAATAATTATTATAATTTAAAATAAATTAGTCTTCAATAGCACGTCGCTGTGGCAGCCATTGATACGATTGTTTCTTGATATAGGTAAGAAATAATGAAAGAAAATATTAAAAAAAACGATGTAAGACGGGAAGAAAATTAATGACTCAATGAATTAGGTTAATCATAGAATTAAAGAATCTGTGAATGGGTATGCCAGTGAAAAAACGAGTCTATATATTATTAAATAAGTAACAATGTGATGCCAATATCGAGAATAAATAAATGTATATGAATTGTTTTGTAAAGAAATAAAAGCTTGAAATTTTTTGGGACGGAAATCAATAATTTATTTTTTTCTAATAAATTAAGATTTTTTTTATTAAAAAAATCTATTTAAATTTTAGATTTGATTTCGATTGCAATGGATTTTTAGACCTGTTTGAACTAAGGACGATGTTGAATTTCTTAGGGGTACAGGCTAAAGAGGATTATTGTAAGCGTTTACTGGATAGAGCAGATAGAGATAGAGATGGAAGATTGACCTTTTCTGAAGTAAATCATTGATTCATAATTGCTTTTTTTATGTAATTTATAATGAACGAAACTAATTTATTGGATATCATCTTTTGTAATTGTTGGCATTTTCTTGCGTTCTTTAGTTTCTCCTAATGTGGCGATTGGCTCAGGACGAAGAAGAACTAATGGACATCATTAGAGAACACGATTTGTACCCAGATGTTTTACAAGTGGACTATGTGTCTAAACTTCGACCAAAAGCACCGGTAAACTCTTGACTTTCTTACATATTTAACAGTTAACGAGTTAATAGTTTTTTTAATTTAAAGTAGATAATAATATTCGGTACTTTTCGGTAAGAAAGCTCAAGTGCGAAAAGTCGCCAAAAATTTAGTCACCATAACCTAATTTTTTTTAAATTAATTTTTTTAAACCCATAAAAATGTAATAAAACAAAATAAAAATAAATGAATTTTTGCTCCCGACAAACTGAAAAGTATCATTTTATTATAAGGCCTCTTAACCTCTTAAAAATCGTCAAATTTTCAAAAGATATTTTTGTCTGAAAAGTAAAGAAAAATGACATTTTCAACAATAAAATAGATTTTAAAAGTATAAAAAAAAATTTATCGGTGATTTTCCATAAAATAGTTTTATCAAAAGATCAAATTAGATTTTTTTCAAAAGTTAAATTTTTAACCCTATAAAACTTTTTTTCCTATTCCCTTCCCTTCCATACGGATAGTTTCTCAAATTTCCTGAAAGTTTTACAATGCTTCTTATGACTTTTTAAAAGATTGCTAAGCATTTATTTTGGTGAAATATGAAGCACAACATTTTTTGTGTGGTTTAAGTCATCGTGACGTGCAATTTTGAAGGAAAATAATACGTGATAGATTTTACACCTTTTATGAAAAAAGATATTCTAAAATATTATTTTTACTACAAAATATTCATAATTTTGAAAATAAGTATGACAATTCAAAAAATTTATCATACGAAGTGTTCATTCTTAAACTAGTTATTACATCTTCAGAAACATGACATGATACCATAAAATATCTAATCCCGTACTCTAAAGAACTAGAGTCAATGTTTTAAGTTGATGTTCTAAGTCTTTTCGGTCTTAAATAGTTTAATTTTATGAAAGCTTTTAGAAGTCGATTAGATGTAGTCATTTTTAATACGAGTGGGAAGATTTAATCTATTCTGGCAAAAAAAAAAAAAAATAAATAAATAAGAAACTCAAATAATGACCAAACATCTTGAAAAATACAGATCTTTTAAGTATTTGTGCTCTTCTTTTTAAATATAAAAATTAAATAAGTAAAAATTTTTATCAAAAGAATCTTGGAAAGTAATCGCTGTAGGACATATATTTTAGATAAAGTCATTAAACATATAATGTAAAGTAATATAATTTACTCCAAGTACCTATTACTGTAATTATGTTGCCATTTCTTCGATGCAGCCTAGAGCCATTAAACAATATATTCAAATAATTAACGTGTTTTGAAGTTTATAATTGAAATTATACTTATTAATGAAATTTTATCTACAATTTTTGGCATATTCTTATAAAGTAATAAACATTATAACATTATTTATAAAGTAATAAACATAATAAACATCTTGGAAGTTAATTTACAAAGGAGTAACTGATGAAAACTTACTAAATGGATTAAACAAAGCCAGAAGTAGTTACGCTCGTCAATTTTGGATAGAAAAACATAAAAAATTAATAAAAATTAGAATTTCCAATACTAATGTTTAATCTGTCCTGCTATATGGATCTGAGACATGACACTGCAATAAAAATAGTAAGAAAAACTTAAAGTTGGGTTTTCCTACTAAAAGTTTTCTCATTCCTATTCATTAACAATTGTTTAAGAAAAATCTCGAGTACCAAATGGTTCCATAAAATTTGCAATGCAGATATCCTTAGAAGATGCCCGGTGGCTGAGTGGTAGAGCTTCGCGCTCCCGTGCCACACGTCCTGGGTTCGATCCTCGGGCCGGACAAGGTTGACTCAGCCTCTCATCCCTTCAGTGGGTCGATGAATGAGTACCAAGCATGCTTGGGAACTAAACACTGGGGGTTTCGCGTTCAGCTGACCGCCTAACCGGAACATCTGCTCCTGCACCCCAGAGTCCAAGGTCAAGAAAACTGAGATGGGCACAGTAGGCCTTGGCCCTCTATGAGCTATCGCGCCACTGAGTTTAGCTTTTTTAGTTTAGAAATCCTTAGAAAAGAAAAACAGAAACCAATTGATCTGGAAATTAAAAAACGTAAATGGAACTGGATTGGTCATGTTCTACGTAGACCTGAAAAAATGTAAAGTAAAACAAGTTTTTGATTTGAACCCTCAGGGAAATAGGAAAAGAGGAAGACCTAAAAATACTTGACTCAGGACGATTGTAATCGAATCGAAAACAATGGGAAAGACAAAATGTCTGGTCACAGATAGAGTGAGAGGGAAAGCTATGATAGAACCCCTATGCTCCCATAGGAGTGAAAAGGAATATGTATGTAAACTAGGGGTGCACAACCTGCGGCCCGCGGGCCAAATGCGGCCCTTCGACTACTGAAGTGCGGCCCGCGAGAGCTTCTAAACACAATAAAAATTTTTTTAAAAAATGGCAATTTTTAATCGCACTTTAAAGTCATCACGTTTTGACGCAATCAATTTTAACAGATTCTTTAGTAAATGTACGTTTAACGCGCTTTCTTGAAGCCGAATTTATCGTAAATATAAATGATTTTTTTTAAACAGTTATTTCCGCTTTTCTACGTGATTTTGAAAATTCCGAATTTTTATAACGACGCGAGTTTCAGATCGCAAATTTAAATAATCACTTTTTGGGCACTTTATTTGTGACGATTTCATCTTAAATCTAAGTGATTTTCTATTTTTTTTTTGCAATTCTTTCTTTTTCTTCAAAAATTTTTCTCGGCAGTTATTGCTATGCGTTCCTACGTATTATAAAAAATTCCAATTATTCTGTTACGACATGCAAATTTTAAATCATGCATTTGACGCGCTTTATTTGTGCTGAGTTCAGCATAAATATATTTTTTCCTAATTATTTCTATACTTTTCCTCGTGATTTTGACGATCCCGTTATTTAACTATGATGTTATTACGACACGTGATTGTTAATCACGCAATTAAATAATCACTTTTTGATACGGTATTACCGTACAGTTTTATCGTAAATCCTAGTTATTTTTCCTTCTTTTTTATTTCCGCAACGAATATGATTTGGTCGAATGTGGTAATGAATTGTGATTTGATCAAAAACCAAATATTCGGCAAAAAGAAGAAGAAAAAATCTATTGAACGCCGTTCACTTGGGGCCAAATAGCAAAATCTTTTAGCAGTATAGCAACACTGAAACTAAAATTTCAATGCTCAGAATAATATTTCCTGGAAAAACGTTAATTAACTCTAAAAAATAAGGCCAATCAAGAACGTTTTTGAAAATGTCGAAAAGCGAAACAGAGAACGTAAAAATCAATCTTAATTTTTGAAAATTTTTTTTAAAGCTGAACATCTCAATTTTTCAATTACCAGAAAAAGCCAAGAAAAAAGAATTAAGTCAACAGAAATGCTATTAAAAATTACTGCGTTATAATGAAAACGTCTAAAAAAAGTTTTTTTTTTATTTAAAGAAAATAAAAAGATAGAAAAAATGTTCTTAATTTTTTAAGTGAAAATCTTATGCCGAAAATCTCAATTTAAATTTTTCTCATTGCCATAATTTTAGAAGAAAAAAAATTGCTATAAAAATTTTTTTTATTTGTAACTTTATTTTTAAAAAAATGCTGAGTCATAATAAAAATGCCTAAAAAAAGAAAAACAGAAAAAACAAATTTTTCTTAGTTCCTGAAACAAAACTTTAATGCTGAAAATCACACTTTTCTATGTTACTGGTTATTTATATTACAGTACAGGGAAAGAGTGATAATAAATTAATAGTATGAGACGTTCTGTTAAAATGCTGGGTTATAATAAAAACTGCAAAAAATGGATCCTTCTCAATTCTCAAAGTATCGAAAAAATGACAAAATTGACTTGACTGATTATATTTTTTAAAAAAAAAAGTAATATCTATAAAAATTCAAAAATAAAAAAAACTTAGAAAAATACATTTCTAAAAAATATTCTGCCAAATATTTGACTGATCATTCAACCAACTGAATTTTTCACAGAAGGGCCAAATACTCGTTACATCCCTCCCTAATTTAAATGCAATGTTATTGCAACTTGAGAAATTCATAAAATGGCGGAAAACGTGAATTTTTAAACTGCTCACTGTTTGTAGTTTAGATTTCAATTTTTTGTTGCTTAAGTGATCTTTTTCGATAAAAAAAAGGAAAATGTTTACGATATAAAAAATCTAATAATTAATAAAATAAAATAATAAAGTACATTACAAAATAAGCATTGAATTTTATTTTGAACTATCACAGTTTTGTTTTTATTTTAGGCTTTTGTTTAAAACCTATAAATTTTCTTCAATTAAAATATTTAATTTGAATTTATATTACTTAATTACGACTAAACTTTTTCCTACTTTCATTCTGTGGGCATTGCATTTTTTTTTAATTTATTAGAATTTAATTCTAAAATGAGTTTTCATATTGCATGATATGAAAAAAAAAAATATTTCTTTTCTTCAATGTTTATTTATTTTGATAAATCTATTGTTCATATGATAAAAATAGCAATTTTTTTTTGAAAAAAAAAAAAAGTATAAGTTTTTTTATTTTTGAATGAATTCTAATAATGGAACACTACTAAGTTATTGATATTACTAAGTTTATTAATAAAAAAAATGGAACGATAATGTTTAAATAAACATTATTACATTTGTCATTAACATGTCTAAATACATGTGCGGCCCTTCGTTATCCAACCTGCTGTGCAAGTGGCCCTTCACTCAAAAAGGTTGTGCACCCCTAATGTAAACCAAGCTAATGGTGATTATTCTGATAATTCCAGACATTCGTGATTCATTTAACAACACATTGCACAGGATTAAAAAAAATTATATTAAAACTCAGAAATTGAATTAGTGTTTACGTCCTCCGGGGAAAAAACTTACAATTGTTTTTTCTTTTCCCTAACTATTTCAGGTGATCACGAAGCGCAAAGTTGGACGCCATCACAAATGTGGATGTGAAACTACTACCACGAAAACGTTCAGATTGAGCCCTAAGGAAGAGTCAATCATATATGAATCCGAAATATCTCATTCAACCCCAGGTGATGACAAACTTCCCATATTTTCTTGCTATCGATAAAATGGACTGAATAATATTTAGAATTAAAATAAAATTGCGATGCTTTCAATTGAATAAAACATTTCATTTGAAAATTACTTTAAGTTTTAAACCAGATCCAGGTTTTGAAAAAAAGTTTTCTTTGTTAAATGTGTTTGACGCTGAATTTTTTACTCTCTTCTGCTTAAACTACAACTCTAAAAATTAAAATTCTGCAAAATAAAATCACAACTGCTGAAAAATGATTATTCAAGGAGTTTCCTCATACTGATAAATTTTTTACTCATCTTCAACTAAAACTTTTGAAGCAAACATAGTTTAGAGCAAGTTGCTTTTATTATTTCCATTTATTTTTAGTTACTCAAGCAAAATGCTTGAAATGTATATACAGCAATCTTACTGCCTGCTGACCGTAAAAACTCAACACAAACTGAACTTAAATTCACGATTAAAGGGATACGGTACCACTAGGATTAAGATAAATTGCACCACTAGGATTTTTTTTACTCTCTTGAGCTATTCTGGTTGCTCCTTCTCCAAATAGATGCATTTTTTTAATACTTACAGCTTCTCTTTGCTTAATACAAATTAATTACAGAAATGATTTTGGTTCGACCACAGTCACTAGCAGTTTTTATTGGCTTATAACAAATATGAAATTAGTATTTTATCACAAAATAATTTAGATATTGAGATGGGTGATATTAGCTGTTAAAAATAAATCTTAAAACAGTTGTGATTTATCAACTTGTTAAATTTTTTTTTACACTGAAGCCACACTAATGGGCGAGTGGCAATGATCATAGTAGTTGGAATTTTTCATTGTAGGAGGAAACGCTAAAATCAAAGCTGTTTGTTATCGTCTTTAATCAGCCAGATCTTGATATATTTATTTTACATTGCTTATGAATTAATTTTTGACGCTCAATATGCAAACTTTTTTTGACTAAGTTTTGGATTTTCATTTAAAACTTAGATTGAGGATAACGGTTGTGAAACATCCTCAACCCGGTACCAGAAATCCTCCAGTACGGCAGCGTGTGCTGCAGGTTATCAGAGCATCTAAAGCTTATTTTTCATCTCGGAATTTTTTTATTTAAAAAAGCCGAAAATTTAATTTAGAAAATGAAAAATCTTTTTTTATTCTTAAACTTACTCATAAGCTATTTGCTTCAGGTCCTCAGCAAAATTTGTTTCCCAATCTGCAGATATATAAACAAAAGAAAAATTATGTCTTTCAAAAATTCCGAAAGATTTTCGCAAATTGTTTAGAAATTCGCAAAATTAAAAAGTATAAAAGGCAAGAAAATTTTTAAAAATTAATTCCTAATTACCGCTAAATCCAATTGCTTTTTTATAAACTGTATAAGACTTATTCGATTATTTTAAAATTTTTTTGTGCATAATTTTCATCTACCTTATATATGCTAATTTTGCTTTACACATAATATAATAAGTCTGTTTTTTACAATAATTGTCTATGTGGCTGTGTTAGGGTCACGGGCAAATTTGAATTTATGAAGATTGTACTGCAGTTTATAAATTCCGACTGAGTATAAATAATTTAAAAATAAGTATTAAGCTATTTTGCAATCCACTTCAAACGTTCTGCTTTCTACCTAACACTAGTTCAACACTTCGTAATTATTTACCAAATGGAATTTACGCAGAAGAAAAAAACAGAACGGACAGAGTATGAGCCCTGAATTACGATCCACAATGCCTATTTAGCACACTCACATATCATTCTACACGTATTGTTTTGAATTAACTACGTAATGCCGTGACACAGATACCACAAACTTCGATTGATTGCTCAATTACTTCAGAGCCATACATACGTGAGCGTGCTGAATAGCACGCGAATGTGCTAAATAGACAGATTTTCCGTTCTCAAGTAATAACCCGCACAGCCACATTCGTCGAAAATATGCAAGTTCTGTAGAGTACATATAGTGCGGCTTTCAGGAGAACTCCTCCAGACCAGTGGCGTAACGAGCTTAACTCGCGCCCGGGGCACAATACCCTTTTAGCGCCCCCCCCCATTCGAAAACCATATAATATTATATGTAAAATATACTCGCAAATAAATAAAGTCATAGACTCAAGCTTGGCTTTAAATTTGAGACAAAAAATGTAGTTAAGAGAACAAGACTAGATTTTGAAATGTATATGATCATCTAGAATTAGTTCAAAAGATACCTATTATTTATTTTACATATTTATAAAGAAATATTTTAAAAACACGCAGTTTTAAAACAATAAAAAAGTAAATATTTATTATCTCTAAGGAGATACATATATTTAATAATCATATGATTATAATACATTAATAAAACTAATTACTATGTCTAAATTTTCCGTGCTTTTGATGAAGCAAATGTATCAATAATATCATCAAATTTGATCATTTAAAATTTTTCTCTTTCCACACTTAAAAATGCTAGGTCACTTAGGCCACCTGTCAAAATTAATTTTAATTTGCTGAATGAACGTTCGCAGCTAGCAATTGATACTGAGATAGTCAGGAGTATTNAACAATCTAATAATATATTCCCTATAAATTTACTATTTGGTACAGTTACGAATTGGTGTTAAAATTACAGTTTAAGATATGAAATCATATTTTACATTACAATTTACAAACTTATTCTTGTATAAAACGATGTTATTAAAATTCTGAATTTACTAATGATTCAAAAATACCAGTAAATAAATTTAAAACAAATAAAGTGATCGAAAGAAGTTATGTTTTAAAAAATCGGAAAAAGATCGCTCCAAACAGATACAAGGGTCTTATGTCAGTTAATTAAGTGAAAATTATATCTGATAAATAGAATAGTTGCTTAAATATAAGAATCTTTTCTAATTTGCTAATATAGAACGTTTTGTAAGGAAAAAGGAAACATTCAAATGTACTAATATCAATAGTTTAAGAAAAATAATGATTAAAGAATAATAAATTAAAAATTCCTTACAAATATTTTTGAAGGAAATCTGTATTTATAAAATCTATCGGCAAGTTTATAGATCTGACTAAGTTTTACTCTTTTTTTTTTTTTAACCTACTGTATGAACAAGTACCAGAATTAGGCCTTTGTGCTCAAGGAAATATTAATAAAAACTTCGAGAAAAATGAGCAATAATGATGTAAGATAACTTGGACTTGTTGATTGGTTTAGATTTAAATACACACTACCCTACAATAATGGAAGAGAACACTTTCAGTTTCTGACATTTTTTAAAATTTCTCAAGAAATACTTAGGACTATTTTTTAACTTTAGAGATATTTAGGTTAGGCAATTAACAATATAGTTTAAAACTTTTAAAGGTTTGAGAGACTGGTAATAAATTACCATCGATAACGAGTATTTTTGAACACTCTAAATATATTAGCTTGTAGAAGAGGTTATTAATCACAATAATTGCATAAAATTTCGTAAACCTAACTAAAATTTTTACAGAGATATAAAATTTTTTATAAAAATACTAAATCTTTTTTGTTTCTTGCTACAATTTTAAAAATTTTCAATAAAATTAAACAAAAATTTCGGAGCAAAAATTTAATTTTTTTTTCTCAAATTTTAAAATAATAATTTTATTATTAAAGCTTAAAAATTTATTAATAATTATGAGAAATCGCATGGTCTAAACACTTCTCTATATATAAAATAATAATTTACATATTTTTTGAGAAATTTTAAGGAAATGTCAAAAACTGAAAGTGTCTTTTTCATTATTTCATTATTGCACTTTTCAGTGGTAGAATTCATCGCCTGACGCAAGAGTTGAATCATTAATTACCTTTTGTACAATTAACACCACTGTTAAAATATAACTTAAAATGGAATACTTTTGTTCACTAGTACTACTAACAATAAAAAATTCATAAAAGCTGGCTGCCTTCTTAAAAGCTATTAAAATTAACAATCGTTTCACACATTAAAAAATTCTACATAAAATTTAATAAATGACCTCAAAATAAATATAAGAAAAATTAAACAATGTATTTATAGGAATGCATTTATATAAACACTGTTTTCATAAAAGGAACTCCGATTTTTCATAAACTTTATAAATATAAATACACTTTTGTAATATACTTTTTGAAGTGGAATGTCTCTTCGAAGTTAGTTTCAAGTTCAGTTCAATCTCAGAAGTTCGCGTATATTTTTCCAGTCTTTTATAAGCCACTTTACAAACTCAAACTAAACACATTTGCTGTTTTCTTTCCCTGAAGTAGTTTCAGCAGGGAGTTTTATGAAACTTGCCACTTAAATTTTCCTTTCATAATCCACACTTGAGATGGGCTACCGTCACACTCTTTGAGAAGAGGCAAAGTTGGATCTTTATCCTCTGGTTTGTCCAAACATTTCCTTGTGTTAACGTGTCGTATTGATTTTTCCTACAAAACATACGGATAAAAAGAAAATGATTAAAAAATTAATGAATAATTTATTATACTTGGACTCGATATAATATTTCAAATTATCTTGTTCGAAATTTGAAGTTTAAAATACATTAGAAAAGATAGATTTAAACTTCATTAACGGGGACAATGAAGTAAAAATGGTAATAGTATCGTTAATTTTAAAACAATTTTGTTTATTTAACTTTTACTTCTAAGTACAGTACGTAAAATAAAAAACGGATCCCCCTGAATAACTTTTGATCTAATGATCGGGTCTTGGACTCAATCTTAATGGTTCCAAGAGGGACCTCAAATATGCTAATTAATTCGTACAGAGGAAATTTTAAGTGACGAAATCAGCCACAAAAACGCACTTTCTTTGATTAATTTTGCAAGACGGATTCAGATTTCTGAACTGCAAAATATAGGGGGTAGCGGCAATCTGGAAAATATGATCGCCATGGTTTGTCAGAAGAGCGGTCTAAATTTGGACCCTTTAATGCTAATTTTACTCTTTGCGTATTTCGCCATATCACGAGAACGAGCGCATTTAAAAAATTTTGCAAATTTAATGAAATTCATTTGTCCAAAGATAATTCCATGCAAAAAAGTGGTATATTTAAAATTAGATTTCTCAAGAATGCTTAAATTTTTCAATCTATCAAAAATTTCGCTCATATTTTGTATTTTGCTATTTAAAATTATATTATACAAAAAATTGTATATTTTACAATTTAAAATTTTTTCGACTTGTAAAATAAAAATTAATAGTTACTAAAAGTTATTTTTAGCATGTACTTTCTCTGAATAACGTACTTTCACTGAATAAAGATACAAAATTAAAGTGAAAACGGTCGAAAATTTCAAAAAAGTCAAATACTTAAAATTTGATTTCTCAGGAATTACTGATCAAAGTTTGTATTTTGCCATTTAAAAATACATTCTTTAAAATTATGTAAAAAATTGTATATCTTACAATTGAATTTTTTAAAACTATTATTGTATTAAATAATAAATATTTACTAAAAGTTATATTGTGCATGGCAATATCTTTGGATAAACCAATTTTATAATTGTGTGTTTGAGATATAGTGAAATAAGGAAAAAGTTAAATAAACATTAAGGTGTCCAAATTTGGAGCGCTATCTTGATCAAACTATGGGGTTCATATTTCCAAGATTGCGGTTACCCCCTATATTTTAGGAGTCAGAAATCTGAATCCATCGAAAAAAAGGTAAGTTTATTTAGAGGAAGTACGTCTTTGGTAGTTCTTCTTGGTCCGTTTTTCTTTTGGTACACTTGTACATCAAAATAAGGAAAATCATTATGAAACATCCTATACTATGCGTGCATCTAGGCTCTAACTCTGCTTGGTCATCGATGAAATATCATACCCTATCTCGTATCATTTGTACTTTGTATGCAATTATTGTCTTACCTCCTCATCATATTCCCATTGTTGATTGCCGCCCATTCCGTGACAGCGGACTAGTTTCACAGGACTACGGTATGAAGCCGCGTCCAAACAGTTATCGTCCGACATTATCTGCTTACGTTTGGTGTAGGCAAAAACCTAGAAAAAAATTAAAAGAAAAAATATTAAATAAAATGCAATTCACCTTGGGCCACATAATTCCTTTAACGCCGTTTTTCAAAGCTGTATCGTCAAGGAAAAAAAAAAAAAGCCAAAATTTAAGAGTTTTACACTTGAAGCAGTGCGATGATTTTTAACTATATATATATAGCTCGTTCACCAAGAGTTGGCACTTGGCTCCGCCTACATCACGTGGTATGCGACGATACTATTTCGCTATTTTTGGGAGAAGGTTGTGAGCAATCCTGAACAATGTTGCTATTTGGCGATCGTTTGGCAAAAATATTTATTTCGCAAACTTTATGTGCATTTTTTTAACAATAAATATTTCATAAATTTGATGATATTTTGCACCATTTTTTATGATATTTCTTTCTTTTGAGTGAATAGTTTGTCCTTTATGAGACATTTCACTGGGAGAACAGCAGTTTTTAAATTTAAACTATATTTAATTAGCTAGTGTAACAAAAGGTATAATAGCAGATGATAAAGCAAAGTAAGTGACTGAAAAAGAATTCACTTTTTGTGTTTGGCGCAAATTAAGGGTTGTCTCAATTTCAACAACGGAGATGTTTCTCTTCTAACTCCCGCGCTGAAATGAACTCTGCGTCCCAGGAGGTGGAGCCAAGTCTCAACTTCTGGTGAACGAACTATATATAATCTTGCCCTAAAAAATTATCTGGGCTTTAGAACAGACTAATAACTAAAAAGTTTAAAAATAATCAAACTTTTTTAAAAATCGCCAATTTGGCGACATTTTCCCACCTAGATGAAAATTATCAAAATCACTGCTGTATTCTAGAATTTGTAAATTTTTACGAGCCCAAGTCATGCAGCATTGGAATAAGTTTTTATATACTAAAAAATTAGACCACAAATGCTTTTCATTTTCACAAAACTGTGGCTGTTCTCCATATTGACGTTTTGCACCATTTTAAAACTAAGTAAAATAGACAGCGCTGGCTTTAGATAGGCTGAACTTGGCCTAACAGTCATAAGTAACAGTTGCAACCTCACAGCAGTTATAAAAATAGCATATTATTCACAAAAAGCATCATTTCATAAGAAGACGAAGCCTTCGAAAAACAACTTTAAACATTCTGTAGGCGAGGCCTATTTTTATTCAGTTTTTTTAATCATATTTATTCTATTTTCACGAATAAATTGATGATAGATATTTACTCTTAAAATATCAAACATAATACTTAAATATTTACATATTTAAATTTGTAGATAAACTTATTAACCATTTTACAATTATAAAACAGTAAATAAGTTATATAGACATATTATAAGCTTTGTTTAAAATTATGTCTAGTTAAGGTATGCAATTAAGAAAATGAATATTAAGTTTTAAAACATGTTTAGCAATTTAATTTCGCCCAATTGCAAAATAATCTCTTTGACAAAAAACGATAAAATAGTTTTTACTTTTGTAACTAAAAGTAAATTAAGAGTTTTTTTGAAAAATTGTAGATGAACTTACAATGGCAACCGGACGAATAAATTGCAAATTTATTCTTAATAGAATGGGAAATTAAATATGTAAAATCAAATTGATACAATATAGCATTTTGGGATCTTTCATTTGAACACCTCTTTACGAATACGTAAAAATCTGTTTATAATCAAGGGGGGGGGGAAACGAATATAGCATACATGGGGATTGGTGAGCAAAGCGAGCAGGAATAACAGATTATATTTACCTGGTTACCACCCATTCCATGACAAGGACTGACAGCCACATTTTCACCACTCTTCCTGTTGTAAGTATCGAGACATTTGTTCGTTAATTCATTCTTTATCTGGAACGAGATTAAGTTTTATTCAAGATTGAATCATGAAAATATACTTCAGTTTAGTCGACAATTCTGGATGGTACTAGTGATGCAATCTTGAGTAGTAAGTCAGTTGTTTGTAATATTTTTAATTGTGATTACGCATTACAATTAAAAAAAAGGGTGAAATTTGACTGGTTGTAATAATGAAAAATTATTAAACTCTTGCGTATTGTTTGTTATATTGAAAAACACATACTTTAGATAATTGCATTTATCAGATTTAATTGATTTTTTTATAACTGGATATTTTTTTCTTAGACGTAATTTCTGCTGTAATTTTAAAAGTTTATCAGCATATTCTTGAAATTTTAAATTTTTAGAAAATAAGATTTTAATAAAAATAAAATTCGCAGTTAAATAAAGTACACAGAGAAAAAAGTACGGTCAAAACTACTAGAATATGGTAAAATTTGCTGTGTTTCTGCCTCTGTGGGAACTCCAAATTTCGATAATTTTTATCGAAGCACTTTGATAATAATTTTTGCTAAAGTTAACAATGAAATATGGCTTTAAATGTGATAAATATGTGATAAAATTTGGTATTTGGTAATTTTTTATGATACCTTAGAGAATGGAGAAAAAAAAATTATTCGGTTAAATTTACTTTTAGGTTTTGTATTAAATGTGTTGTAATAAGAACTATAATTTTGAAAACCAAAACTTCCGGTAAATTGTTATTATATGAACAGAGAAATTACCAAATGAAAAGTTTGAAACCAAAATATACGGTATTTAATCAAATATTTTTGATTTTCCTTAAAAAAAAAAAAAAAGAAGAAAACTATATCATTACCACACAGTACGGTAATTTTACAAGAATTTTTTTTTCTCTGTGCGTAATTGATAAGATCAATTATCCACTCAATTAAATGATCTTCTTCAATTGATAATTGATACTTCAATTAATAACAGCTTTCAAGATTATAAACTTTTGTAACAAGACATAACACAACTGAATTTTATAACAAAACTAACTAGCTGAATTACCTGTTACCGGTATGGGGTAAACAATCAATAACTCGGTATAAATTAACACTGCGGAATTTTGTACAAAACTGGAAGGCTCTTTTTTTATTATTATTTGTTGCTCTTTCCGTTGGTTTTGCATTATTAGATTCAGTAAAGCTCGCTTTAAGAAGTTTAACACATCAGAATGAAGGAAAGTAATTGCGCTCGGTATGAAATATGATGCCATTGCGGGCGGCCAATTCAATATTGTAATAAGTAACCACATTATAGAAATTTTCTCCATTAAGTTTGCACTTTAGTACAAAACCTAATTTTTTATTTTATTTTAATAACTGTTGATTTTAAATTATTTCTGTTAGTAGAAAACCATTTCAAAAGCGTAATTAAAAAAAAAATGAACACGTGGTTTCAGATATATTTTAAATGTAGGAGTCGGTGACGTTGATTTTACTTATTTATTTTTGATTGATTACATCAGGTAAGCATAATTATTACCTGGCGAGCAGCAAGCTCTCAGTGAAAATCAATTTCGATCTAACAGAACTATAAGCTAGAAAACAAGAGTGGTGTCATCTTTTAAACATAAAAAAAAATAAATAAATAAATAAAAAATAAAAAAAAAACAGAAAGAAACATCAGAATTGTCTATGGTTTAATCTAACCTACACCGAATGTATATGAGAGAGAATGAAAAAATTCATTTTTGAAATGTCCCTTCCAATCGAACGAATTGGAATTTTTAAACGACTTTTAGGATTGGAAGCTAAAATCATTCCTTGCATCCGCTTTTCAAATTTCAAGACTAACGGTTCTGGAGCTATAAGAGACAGACGCACACACAAACTCTAATTTTTATCTTAATGTTACTAGTACAATAATAGACAATAAGATTCGCAAAACTACATTTTACAAGATTCTGCAGCACATTCTTCAGGCAATTTCTTTATAAAATTACATAAACAGAGATTGCAAAAAACAATATCCGAATATTTAAAATGCATCAATGTAACGATTTGCGTAAGAAAAATGGTCTCGGAAAATATGGCAGACCTTTTAAATCTGTTTGTTGTAGGTTCTATTTACATACAGATGGTTTAAACTTATTTTGATAATTTTAACACGCTACGCCTAAAATAATAATGAATATAATAATGACGCCTAAAATAATAATGAATGTAATGTAATAATGAATTATAATCAAGTTCTATTGCTTAAACATTTTATATTTGTCTTACGTAAAATACAAAAGTTCAATTTAAACTAGGAACTTAGTAAAATACCTAAGGTTGTTATTGATTGCTGTACCAAAATCATTACTTGAAAACAAATAATATGAAACTGAAACAAAAACTGAGTAGCAAGAAAAAAAACTTCAGTTATCTTAGGTACTCTATGCAAGATATATTTTAATTCTCCCTCTATATACAAATCTATTACCTCTTATTTTTATTTTCTAAACGTTAATAGATATCTTGGAAATAAATAGTACTCACTTCTCCCAGGTGATAGTAGTCTAAAGGCATTTGGGATTCAGGATAAATATTTTCTAGATACCAACGGAACGACTTACACTGAAGATTCCTTCTAAGTTCTCTACGTTCTGTTACATTACCGGCAGCCACTTTTTTGGCAACTGAAAGAAACATTAACAATTACAGAAAAGAATATTTATCAAAAGGCATTATACTGTGTGTACCAAAAACAATAGAGGATTTAAAAAATCGATATAAAAACATTATACCGGGTGCACCAAAAATGATCAATAATTTGAAAAAAGCAATTTATAAAAAGGCATTATACCGGGTGCACCAAAAATGATTAACGATTTGAAAAAAGCAATTTATCGAAAGGCATTATACCAGGTGCACCAAAAATGATCAACGATTTGTAAGAAGAAATTTATAGAAAGGCATTATACCGGGTGCACCAAAAATGATCAACGATTTGAAAAAGCAATTTATAAAAAACGGAAAAAGATAAAAATGTATAGTTTGTTGCATTCTGCTTTGGGAACTCTCACCAGGTTTCGAAATTAGTTACAAAGTTTGTCAACAGGTGGTGATGTTAGCTGGAAAAAAAAAATTCCTAAAACTGTGTTTTCTGCGGCATATCAAACCATTGATCCTGAGATATAATGCACGAGCCTATTAATTTTCTCCACAGACTGTCTGACACTATTGCTTAAAATATCTAAACAATCTATGCTTTCATACTTTTATTCATTTAAAACAGCGCTATCTGTTGAAGAATTTTGTACTAAATTTTTAAAATGGGCGAGAATATATCATTTTGTTTTTCTGCGCCGAACGCTACTAATTGAAAATTTCTATTAGCTCCTGTTTCTCTTTAATTCATTTTTTATATTGTTGGTATATTTGAGATATCAGTTAAGTAACACTTGTATTTCATCCCACTTATGTGTTTTAATGTGAAACAAAGTTAAGGTAGCTCAACTTAGCTTAATTCAATTTTTTTCAAAAAGGTATCTTTACAGGTGTTGAAAACCTATACATAACTTCTTATAATCCAACAATAACTTAAATTCTAATTTTTAACAAAGCTCTAATTCCTTTTTTTCATTGTGTTCACCTAATGTGCATCCTTTTTCCATAATGTAATGCTATCAAACTTATTCTTCCCATTTTTTCTCTCTACATTAAAAAATACATAAGGGCGTTTTGGGTGTTTAAAAGTTACAATTAATTTCTCTACACGAAGACTATAAGACTTATAAACTTGATATTACTTATGTGTGTACGGGGATTACGATGAAATAAAACAAATTAACATTCGATAATTTCTTCGAGAATTATTAACAGTTAAACTTGTTGGAAAAAATACCATACGGGCTACATGCCTACTACCATAAATTTGAAATTTGGCAAAGCTGAAAGAGCCACAATTGTTTATGAACTTAACAGGGTTTTTCTTCGAAGTTCGAATTTCTTTGAATGTTATTGAAATTTTCAGTGCTTTTTTGCAATTCTTCCACCCGTTTCTTTGCTTTACGTTACATTTTGTTTAGTTGCTTGAAACCGAAATTTTCAGTTTTTTTTTTGCCGGAAATATTTACGTTTAAGGAATAAAAAGTGATGAATGAGAAGCAATTAGAGGTTGGCGAGCGGAGAGGGCAGGGGACGGAGCCTCTTATTTAATTAAAAATTATATTTTTTGATATCAGTTAAAAAAATAGTTTCTGACCCGGAAATCATGAAAAATTTTATTTTTCGAATTTGTAACCTTTAGTGAATTTTTTAAATTTATTTTGTATGCAGTTCTTATGATAGGAATAAATTTAAATAGTACCAATATTTATTATACAATTGGATATAGTATGTTTCAGAAAGTTGTATAAGGCCTTTAACCATAAACTTAAATATCAGCTCCTATAATGTTTTTTTCAGCCGAATTAGCTTAGTGTTTCGAAATTTCAAAGAATATTATTTTTCTCATTAAAGTTTATATTTTGCACATATTATCTGACTTATTGCGTTGATTACATAAATATTTGATAGATTTTTGAAAAAAAAACATATTTCTGCTCTCTTTGTTTCTATGTGCGAAATTAACTGGTATGATTAACAAAAATCTCGTGGGAGAATGCAATTTCAACCTTAGTTATTTTTTAAATAGAGAAAATTAATTCAACAAAATTGCTTACTTTAAGAATAATTGATATAAATTTTGCTAGATGGCGCCACTGAAATTAATAACATGAATTTCAAATGTCAAACTATTTTTGGAAAAGTCACTCACTTAAACCCCATTTTTGTCTAATACAGAAATAATCAGTACGTTACATCAATGAAGAATTATAAAAAAATATGTATTTAAAAAACACATAAATACTTTTTTACTAAACACTGCAGTATAAAAATTACTTTTCGTTGTATTAAAGAAAAAGTTAAATACTTTAAATTTCCAAATGTTGTCTCGTAAAAAAAAAAAAAAAAAAAAAAAAAAAAAAAAAAAAAAAAAANAAAAAAAAAAAAAAAAAAAAAAAAAAAAAAAAAAATTAAAATCATATAAGTTTTTTTTAATAATGTGATTTTTGCATTTGTTATTCTGAATACTACGGCATCTAAAAAATCATGCATTTAAAAAATAAAACTTTATTAGCAACTAGCATTTACAAAAAGTGGCTCTTATAATCAACACAATATAAAAAATAAGGCATTTTCGTAATAAAACTATTCTAAACAATGTGTGGTGTGTTGATTAATTAAATGAAAGGTTCAATTACTATTGAACCACTAAGTGTGGAATTTGTATGATTGAATACATAATTTAATTTCACAAAAACCGGAAATAGTTATACTGCGTCAAACATAACGAAATAATATAATATACTCTTGGTAAGCTGGTCAAACGCTTTAACCATGGTTCGTCAAATATTCTAATCATTAAAAAGTAATGTAATCACCACAAAATTTCAAATCTTAATTCTATTCGCAATTATAGTTTTAAGTACAAAAATCGGGAAATTTTTTTTAAACATTTCTTTTTGGAACTGAAGGGTTAGTTTAGCATTTAAATAAAAATTTATTTTATCCATGTAGTTGCTCAGGGGGAAAAAAAACTTAAGGAACCAGTTTTTCCCCTGAGAGCAGCGGTGGCTCAGGGGATAGAGCTTTCACCCCTTTCAATGAAGTGTCACAGGTTTGAATCCCAGCTGTGACTGGTTGATATGAATTCTGCTCCCAGCACGCACCAACCTCAGTGGTAACGTAAAATATCCTCAGTGGTAGACGGCGGGCTAACCATGGGAGGTTTACTTGGTTTTCTTCTCTATGTGACGCAAATGCGGGTTAATTCCACCCAAAAATTCTCCACGTAGGATAGTTTGTTTAATAATGTTTAATTCAGAAGTTCTCTTATCTTCTGGATTGTGTTCAAAATTATAAGCCTACGGAGTTGAACATTGTGTTTTTCGTTAAGAAATTTTCTCAAAATCAGCGTTTTTTAGAAAATGCATTTAAAATGCTAGAAAATTCTATAATGTAAAAAAACACTGACAACAAAAAGTAAATTCGAAAATTAATTTCTGAAAATGAATTTTATTTGTCCTAAAAAATATAATTTATTCAAATAAAAAAAGGTCAAAATAATCAAAGCATAATAAATAAAAAAAATAAAATTAATTTTTTTATTTCTACTTTTGTTTTTGAGGGCCAACTTACGGTTTCGGTTGTCAGCATATGAAAAAACAACCATAGCATTTCTAAAAATCAGAGATTTCAAAAAAATTGCAAAGGTTTTTGGAGAACGAAAGAACTTGTCACACATGGCTATTACAAAAAAAAAAAAAAAAAAAAAAAAAAAAAAAAAAAAAAATCTAAATTTTCATCGAAATTGCTGATTTTCACCAGTCCTCATGCCTTTAAAAAGCAAACCTAGTTTTTTTGTTACAGTATGTCCCAAATAGAACGCAACCCACGAAAAACAAGGAAATAACGCTACGGACGCCAAAATCTGTCGCCAAAGGTTAGTTTGTTGGAACCCGCGGAAAAATTGTGTTGGTTACAACATGATGAAGCCACTGCTCACTCATCTCTTTACTTCAGTATTTTTTGGAGAATGCCCGATTTCTAGAAAGATTGTGGCCTCCCCGAAATCCGGACTATTCTTTGGGGGGGATATTTTAAAAATGTTGTGCGACATGTATCTCCGAACTAAAGGCGAAAATTTGATCACGAAAACAAAAATGTTTTCTCAAAAATGTTGGCTGAAGTCTTCGATTATCTTGTTGAAACGTTAATGGAGGGCATTTTCAACAGTTTTTGTTATTTGTGTTCAATAAACATTTAATAAACATTCCTTTTCTCAATTATCCATGTATCGCTTTTTTAGATTGCGCTTTATTTAGGATACAGTGTAGAAAACTATAAAAGCGTTTTTTATTGATTCCTTTAAACTTACAGTTTAATTCAATTGTAAACGCACCTTAAGAGATTAAAAAAAAAAAAATTCAAACTTTTTAAAGAACTAAAGTGACTTCATTAACAAAATAGTGACGATTTACTTGTTAATGAAGAAAAGGCAAATATGCGTGACTTGTTAAAATTGCATTCATGCAGGAATTCCAAAATTGTATAAATCGCGTTCTTATTCGGAGAAATAACAACAAAAAAGTAACTTAAATAACATTGATGTCTTTGTGTAAGCCTCCGTTGTGATGTTCTTTTAATCCCTCATATATAATTTAAAATAGGAAAAAATTACACCTGTAGCTTGAAACTTTCAATGATTTTTATTTTTAAATTGTGGTAATAACTAAAGCAAAACTATATAACGCAATTAGATAAAATTTTGTGAGACACTTTCTTTTTTTAAAAGATGTTTAGGTTTGTTTTATATTTAGAAATAAACTACATACTTTTAATAGGGTTGATTGTTTAAGAGTGTTTTCTGAGAAATTAATTTTTGGTCGAATCAAACTATGATTCATATTAGATTAAAAAAATATAGTAAATAGTTGTTGTGAGTTTTTAAAATTGAAGTGACAGTGAGATTAGAAAATTTTCATTTATTTTATAAGAACTATTTTATGTGGTAATTGGTTGCCTTTCTCTCAGGAAGGTCTATTATAAGGAAAAATTAAGTATTAAAAGAGGCGTAAAGCTTTGAGCACTGCATTGAAGGGGGAAGAATAAGTGAAAGATTTTGAAATTCTTTCGATTATCATAAACAAGCATTTCTAAACATCTTTTTTGCAGACTTAATTAAAAATTAATTAAATATATTTTTTTAACAATATTTTTTTCTCTAGGTGAAAATTTTATTTTATAATTTCATGATCGATGTTGAACAGCCAACCCAATCCGAATTTAAGACACATCACAAACAAACATAACATTAACAAAAAACGTTTATTATAGAATTTTGTATGTAGATTTTGTACAAAGTTAGCTATACTTTGAGCTAAAAGCTAAGGTCTCATTTATTATTTTTATGAAGTTCTTGATAAGAATATTTAGAATTTTTATTTAAAAATTCAATATTAAACAATATATTTAGTTCTATTTCATTACCTTTTTTGAAAATTTTAAGACTTCAGTTCAAAACATAGATCATTACATTATTAATATAGAAAAAAATTATTCTGAAATTTATGCATTAAAATTTTTTGCAGACCTCTTAGCGTGACTTGAAAAAAACTGTAGTTTTTTAGTTCAAATTTCCCCTTATTAAAAAAAAAAAACCTTATAAAATGATTTAAACTTTAATTTTATACTTTTAGCATTCCTACTCACCAAACACAAAATCAAAATTTAGTTTAGTTTTTTTTTAATATTTTTTAAAAAATCATGTTGAAATCAATCTGATACCTTATAGGCGTCCATCTTTGAAAGCGTATGATTGCAGAGATGCCAATAAGTTTTAATAAATTGATAGCCAATTAAATAGTTAAACTAGTGGAATAAGGAGAATTACGCCTACTCTTTTAAAGTGCAACTGAGAGATAAATTCAATAAAGTTGCATTTCATATATGATTTCATCTCTGCGATTGATGTAAAGCGAGTACACTAATCTCTTATTTTGTTTTTCTCAAAAATGAAACTTTTTCTCGGGCGTCGAATGAATTTATCTCACGTTATAAATTAAATTAAATAACTGGTTAACGAAACTGAATTGTTAGTATAGCCCCTGAATGTTAATTTATAACATTGTATTTATTATTTACTTAGCTTTAACCCATCACAAAAAAATGGTCTAAGTATAAAAAAGCGCCTGTGAGAAAAGTGGTCAGACACATTTATTCATAATAAAGAGATATTTCTTTCTGTTATCTACCACTTTAGAATTAAAAAAAACAAAAAAAAACACACGCACACACTTTGCATTGGCTTCAGTTTCAAATATAAATATTACATAGCTATTCTTTTTAAATTGGTCTAATTCAGATACGTTTTCTTGAGTTGCCTATTTGCAATTAACTGCTATGAATAGACAAGTGCCAAAAGGCAGACACCTAAACAAATACTTTTATATTAAAGTAAAATAGTTGTATTATTAGTTTATTACGCAGGGTCCGCGCTAACATTCGTCACAAGCGATAAAAACGTACATTTGGCGAATAAAATTATGTTTTGGCGAATTATTTCTTCCACTGGAAAGAAAACTTATTTTACTCGATCCTCAAAATAACGTCAAAATGAATTTTTTTAAATAAATCATTATTTTTCATTTGATTATAGTAATTTTCGGTAAATCAGCAGCATAATCAATTAGAATTGGGTCCAACAAACTAAAGTAAAATAGTTTTCCTTTGGGGAAAAAATTAATTATAAAAAATAGTCAAGATTTGGATTTGGGGATGACTTTCGAAAATTGGCGAATACTTTTGATATTTGACTAACTTACTGGCTAATATTTTGAAATCCTTAACGCGGTTCTTATTATGCTGGACAAACTATTTCGCTTCCGCAAAATCAATCCTAATAATGAAACACTTAGGCTAATACCTTTTTGTAAGAAAAGAAACATTTTTTATAACACATACAATTCAGTAAATATCTCAAAAATTACACAAAAAGCAATCTTGAATTAAAACTAAAATAAATTAAATTTTTATAATTTTATTTTAAATTCAAAAGTTTCCTTTTGAGACATTCTTACTAACCGATCAATAACCACGTGTTTCACTTCATAAGCAAAAGGACTTCGATATTTTCTTAGAATTTCTGAACGATCGACGGGATCGGGAAAACGAAAAATGCGGGAACGATAGATCGATGCCTGACTATCAGAAAAATGTTAATTGGCATATTAAACAGCTTCAAAGATTCGAAATTTTAAACAGATCTCAGTGGGCAACATTGAAAAAAAAAGTTTAAAATACCCAATTAGACAAGAAAAAATAGAAACTTGTAATCTAATTACTTCTTAAGTTTTAATTACGTAAAATGAGCAACAAAAAAAAGAAAAAAAAAAGAAAAAAAAAGAAAACCGCCCTGAATAATTTCTGATCTAATGATCAGAACTTCAAGTTTTAGGACTACCTTAATGGTTCGAGGGGGTGACTTCAAATATGCTAATTATTTAGTGCAGATGATATTTTAAGTTATGAAATTGAAAAAGTCGTATATTTAAATTCAATATCTCAGAAATTATTCAACTGATTTCGCTCAACTTTTTGTATTCTGCCATGTAAAATTAGATGCTTTAAAATTACGTAAAAATTTATGTACCTTACAATTCAAAAGTTTTATGACGGCTTTAAAAAAAGAGAAAATAGTAAATATTTCCTAAAATTTATTTTTTGCAAGGATTTATCTTTGGATTAGCGAATTTTATATTTGTGCGCAAAGATTTTTCAATTTGCTTAAAAATTTCTCGAGATATGGCGAAATACGCAAAAAATAAGATTAACATCAAGGGGTTTAAAGCTTGCATCGCTTTCCTGATCAAAACTACGGGGACCCTATCTTCTAGATTGCGTCTATCTTCTATATTTTGGAGACCAGAAATCCGAATATGTCGTAAAAAAGGTATGTTTATCCAGAGAAAGTACGTTTGTGTGTCCGAGTTTGCAACTTAAAATATCGTCTGCAGTAATTAATTAGCATATTTTAGGTCACACCCTCGAACCTTTAAGATAGAGTTCTAGAACTTAAAGAGTCAATAATGAGATCAAAAGTTCAGGGTGGTCAGCTTTTTTTTTGGCATACTGTAAGATTACAAAAAAAAAAATATTTACAAATTTACCTGGATTAATTGCGTAAAAGAAATCTTTCCATTCATCTAGCCAAACTTCAGCTAACCTGGCATTGTTATGGTTGACAATTTTGCTTGTACCTCCTGGAAAAGTATAAGGAGTGGATTTTCGGAATACATGTCCAACATGCGAGCAAGTCACTATTTCTAAAGTACCTCCACACATCCAGATCTAAAAATAGAGGAATAAGATTAAAAAACTATGTAATTCAGGATAAATTTTGAAACATATTTCAATTGATAAACTAAATTGATCTTTACTTTATATGACAAAAACCGCAACAGATTTTAAATTATTCATCAGTGCACAGATACGATAATATATTTCTATCACTCAGGGATGAGAGTAGTCAGAAAGTAAAAAAGAGGAAATCCAAGAATGAATATATATATATATATATAATTCATTTTTGAGAA